ATAATAAAGGGGCCCAACACCCTATAAGAATAATAATAATTTATTATTTATACCCCGCCCATCTGGCTGAGTTTCCCCTGCCCCCCTGTTTTGATGGGATCTGTTAAGTGCCCTAGCTGGCTGCACCCGACTCTAAGGGCCGTATTTGAATGTACTGTAATACCTGAATTAAATATAGTAGCCTTCTATCGAAGGTAGTGGCCCGAAGCTTGTCCCAGAGTCTCGTTCTGGGAACTGAGTCAAAGGCTGCTTTTAGATCAAGAAAGGCTGTGCCTGCCCTCCTGACTTATATTTTTCTATAAGGTGTTGTAATGTTAGGCAGTGATCTAGCGTGGACTTGCTGGGTCTAAATCCCACTTGTTCTGCTGCCAGAATGTCTTTATCCACTAGCCACTCTGTGGATTTTTCCAGCAGGCCCTTAGAAATAAAAGAAGCAATAAAAATATAACTGAAAGTCAATATGGGTATTTTAATGTGGTGGATGGGCTTGTTGTGTTGAACAAAATTCTTTGATATTCAGTGCAATGTTTGTCTTTTTTTTTTTTTTAATAATTTTTATTAAAGTTTCAATCAAAAATTTAACAACAAACAAAAAGAAAAAAAAACATAAAAAGATACACAAATACAAATCCCAGAAAGAAAATAAAAAAACACACAAAAAGCAAGAATCAATAATAACAAAAACATAACAATTAAAAACAATATCTCTTTTCCATTTCCGTTTTTGAATTTACTTATTTTCTGGACTTCCTCATACCTCCCTCTTTTGTATTCCAATCCAAATTGTTTGTCCAGCAATTTCTTTTCCACTTTTTTCATCCCAATCTTTAATTTTAATATAATATATAACTTCAACTTCTTTAAACCTAGTCTTTGATCTTAATGTAATATAACATTGAAATTTTACCTCTTAATTGTCAAATTTCCATTTCCTTAAACATCTTTAAACCTAATCTTTAATCTTAGTCTATCCTTAACTTCAACCTGTACAGCTGGAAACCGCTTATATTCAGTCCAACATCACTCTAACATTCTTTAATTTTGCAGTGTTTCTGAAGATAGTCTTTGAATTTCTTCCAATCTTCCTCCACCAACTCTTCTCCCTGGTCACGGATTCTACCAGTCATTTCCGCCAGTTCCATATAGTCCATTAATTTCATCTGCCATTCCTCCAGCGTGGGAAGTTCTTGTGTCTTCCAATACTTTGCGATGAGTATTCTTGCTGCTGTTGTTGCATACATAAAGAAAGTTCTATCCTTTTTAAGCACCATTTGGCCGACTATGCCCAGGAGAAAGGCCTCTGGTTTCTTAGGGAAGGTATATTTAAATACCTTTTTTAATTCATTATATATCATTTCCCAGAAAGCCTTGATCTTTGGGCATGTCCACCAAAGGTGAAAAAATGTACCTTCAATTTCCTTACATTTCCAACATTTGTTATCGGGCAAATGATAAATTTTTGCAAGCTTGACTGGGGTTATGTACCACCTGTATATCATTTTCATAATATTCTCTCTTAAGGCATTACATGCCGTAAATTTCATACCTGTGGTCCACAACTGTTCCCAGTCAGCAAACATAATGTTATGTCCAACATCTTGTGCCCATTTAATCATAGCCAATTTTACCGTTTCATCCTGAGTATTCCATTTCAGCAGCAAGTTATACATTCTTGACAAATTCTTAGTTTTGGGTTCTAACAGTTCTGTTTCTAATTTGGATCTTTCCACCTGGAAGCCAATTTTCTTGTCCAATTTAAATGCCTCCATTATCTGAAAATAATGAAGCCAGTCTCACACTTTGTTTTTAATTTTTCAAAACTCTGCAATTTCAGTCTATCTCCGTCTTGTTCCAAAATTTCCCAATATTTTGGCCATTTGACCTCCATATTGACCTTTTTCAAGGCTTTCGCTTCCATTGGTGACAGCCATCTTGGGGTTTTGTTTTCTAGCAAGTCCTTATATCTTATCCAAACATTAAATAGCGCTTTCCTGACAATGTGGTTTCTAAATGCTTTATGTGCTTTGACCTTATCATACCATAAATATGCATGCCATCCAAATACATTATTAAAACCTTCCAAGTCCAAAATGTCAGTGTTTTCAAGAAGTAGCCATTCTTTCAACCAGCAGAAGGCTGCTGATTCATAGTAAAGTTTGAGGTCTGGCAGGGCAAATCCGCCTCTTTCCTTTGCATCCGTTAGAATTTTAAATTTTATTCTGGGCTTCTTGCCCTGCCAGACAAATTTAGAAATATCTTTCTGCCACCTCTTGAAACAATCCATTTTGTCAACAATCTGCAAAGTTTGAAACAAAAACAACATTCTAGGCAATACATTCATTTTTATCGCAGCAATACGGCCTAGCAGTGAAAGCTTCAAATTTGACCAAATTTCTAAGTCTTTTTCACTTCAGACCAACATTTTTCATAATTATCTTTAAATAAATTCCCATTTTTTGCTGTCATGTTAATCCCCAGGTATTTAACTTTCTTAACCACTGTTAAACCTGTCTCATTCTGAAACCTCTCTCTTTCAAACGGTGTTAAATTTTTCTCTAAAACCTTGGTTTTTAACTTGTTCAATTTAAATCCTGCCACTTGACCAAATTCTTGAATCAGTTCTAAAACCTTTTTTAGTACTAGATTCTGGCTCCTGTAACGTCAATACTAAGTCATCTGCAAATGCTCTCAATTTGTACTGTTTAGTTCTGACCTGTATACCTTTAACCGACTGGTCCCTTCTAATCATATTCAGCAGAACCTCCAGGACCGAAATAAAAGAAGTGGGAAATTGGGCAACCTTGTCGTGTCCCTTTTTCAATTTTAAGTTCTTCCGTCACAACATTATTTACAATTAGTTTAGCCTTTTGTTCTGAATAAATTGCACCTATACCATTCTCAAAACCCTGGCCTACCCCCATACCCTGGAGATTCTTCTTCATAAAATTCCAAGAAATATTGTCAAAGGCTTTCTCCGCGTCTACAAATATCAAAACTGCTTTAGTGTTTATATTCACTTCTAATTTTTCCAAAATATCTATTATATTCCTCAAATTGTCAGACAAATGTCTTCCTGGGAGAAAGCCCGCTTGGTCTTTATGAATCTCTTCCATCAACACTTTTTAAAATCTCTTAGCCAAAATATCTGCAAAAATTTTGTAATCCACATTCAGTAACGATATAGGGCGGTAGTTCTTAAGCTGTGTCTTTTCGGTCTCTGTTTTTGGTACAAGTGTAATATATGCTTCTTTCCACGACTCTGATGCTCTTTTCCCCTCCATTATTTCGTTGCAGACCTCTTTCAAAGGTTGAATTAACCATTCTTTTAAAGATCTGTAGTATCTAGAGGTCAAGCCATCTGGTCTGGAGATTTACCCAGTTGCATGTTTTGAATGGCACCTTCTATTTCCTGTTCAGTTATTCTATGATTCAAAATTAATTTGTTTTCTTGAGATATTTTTTGTAATCCATTTGTTTTCAAAAATTGGTCTAAGTCTGTTTCTTTCAGTGGCCCTTGAGTGTATAATCGTTTAAAGTACCTCTGGAAACAACTTCTAATCTCTGCAGGGTTCTGTATGTTTCTTCCTTCCACTTCTAAGTTCGTAATTGTACCATTTTTTATTCAGTTTTGCAATTTACATTTATATTCATATTCAAATACTAATCATAAACATAAACATATAGGATTCCCTGAATCTTTAACTTCCCTCCACCCCTTCATGGGTTCCATTGTCAATCTTTTTCAACTGCATCATATAGTTTCTCCATTTTTAAAATTAAAAAATCCATTTTTACCTTAGTTCTTGTTACATTACATTGGTACTCAAGCCCCTTGGTTCCTAAACACCGAAAACCCGGAAGTAAGTGTTCCAGTTTTCAAACATTTTTCAAAAGCCGAATGTCTGATATTGCTGTCGGCTATTGTTTCTGGGGCACCTGCACCAATCAAAAGCCGCACCTTGGTTTTTTAACATTTCGGAAGCCAAACGGACTTCCAGAACAGATTAAGTTCGAGAACCAAGGTACCACTGTATCTGGTGCTTTTGTTTTGCTCTTTATTTTGCATTTTTGTTTTTGAGGCTTTTTCGGTTAATTTGTTTTTGTGACTGTATGGAGCCCACTTCAGCTGATTGTGTGACAGCAGAAATGGATAAAAGCCCCCCATCCAAACAATGACTATCATCAGTGCAAGTAAGAACGTTTTTTTATTTTTATCATCTACAGTACTGTCTTGTTTATTTTATAGTACAGTACAATGATTATTGCTTTCATTTTATGGATCAATGGTCTCATTAGATAGTAAAATTCATGTTAAATTGCTGTTTTAGGGTCCCCCCCAAAAAAAGTCTGGAATGGAGTAATGTTTTGCATTACTTTCTATGGGAAAGCGCGCCTTGGTGTGGGAATGCTTTGGTTTTGGAACAGACTTCCGGAATGGATTATGTTTGAGAACCAAGGTACCACTGTACATAATAATAGAATTGTAGAGTTGGAAGGGGCTTTAAGATCATCTAGCCAAACTCCTGCAATACAGGAATCTTTTACTCAATATGAGGCTTGAAAACTATAAGGCACGGGGCATTTTTACTCACTGCAGTGACTTGGACAGGTGAGATAATCCAGGAGAGCCATTTTATTCAAAAGCTGAGATGTAGTAGCTACATCCCACATGTCACCTCCAGATGTGGCTCCGAGGGAGAACTGGGTCTGAAACTCTGGCCAGCCATTGCTGCTAGTCCGTACAGACGATACAGAACTAAGGTGGGCTGTTGGTCTGCATTAGCGTAAGGTAGTTGCCACTGTGTTCCCTTCCTGTTGTTCCCACCTGGCAGAGAAGAGGGCGCGCGCCCCTGCCTCTTTGCCCGCGCTCTTTGCCTGCCTGCGGCCGGGTAACGGTTGTCCCCAGCGGCGCACCTGCTTCACACCTGTCGCGGCATGGGGGCGGGGCGGGCGGGGGCGAGGCGGGCTCTCTTCCTATTGGTGGCCACAGCAGCGAAGTGATGCTGGCGGAAGACGCTCGGGTCTCCGCAGGCAGTGAGCGCATGCGCGGTGGGGGTGTCCCCCCCCCATCGCCCGGCTCGCCCGGCTCCAGATGCGCCTTTGATCTCCCGGTCAGCGCGGGCCGCGCGTTCGAGACCCGTCCGAGGCCAGCGGCGGGCAGGTGCGCTGCGTGGAGGCCTCGTGGGGAGATGGTGTGTCATTGGGCGCTCCCTCGGGGCAGGATCCAGTTCCCCCTTTGCACTGCCGCGGGAGGCCGGACGGGGTGGGCAATGGGCAGATCCCGGCGGGTCAGGTAGATCCCGGCATTGGTGGTCTTCTCCGAGAGAGGGTGGTTTGATGGTTCGGTTTTCGGGGAGGAGGATGGATGCGCCTTCCTCCCTCCCTCCCTCCCAAATGTGGGGGTTCGGGGCCCTTTTGTTGCTTCTGCTGGGGTGGGGGGAGTCCCGGGATCCCTGCCCTCAAGTTTAGCCCATTGGGCAGGACCGAGACGCTTCCGAGCACACCATTGTCCCCTCCAACCTGCCCTGTTTGCAAAGGGACCCGCCCTTTTAAAATCGAAACTCCCGGAGGCAGTGATGCTCCTGAATGCCAACCACCGCTGAGCGCTACTGTTTGCTGGTTTCTCCTAAAGGGCATCTGCTTGGCCTCTGCGTCAGGGCAGGATGCAGGACTGCGCGGGGTGGGGACCTTGGCCTGATCCAGACTCTTAATTTTCATGCTCTTAGCATGGCCCACTCTGCCACTTTCCAGTGGAGAGAAGGTACAACTAGGTTCCTTGATAAATAAAAAGACAATAAAGTAAATCTTTCTGGCTCATCTTAGGGAAGAGAAGGGCTATCACTCTGAGTGGGTGGAGCAGGGGGAGGGAGTGCTGGCCCCCTCTCCCTTACCCGTGGGGGGGGGGGTCGCCTGCACAGTGGCAGTGCCAACCATGCCCACAGACAGAGCGATGTTAGGGCCTGTGGCTTTCCGAAAACCAAATGCTTGCTCATGCTCTGAGCAGAATGCTGTGCTGTTTGTGGGGGCTTTTGCAAAGTGGCAGGTCAGCCCTTCAAGAGACAATGTGGGGAGCGAAAGGGACACTTACCATGTGAGGTGGGGGGGTCAGTTGAGGTGTAACAAGCTGAGTGACCTGCCTTGCCTTTCAGTGATGTTGCTGAGGCGCAGGTGTGGCATTGGCCAGGCTGCCCTGGAGGTGGGACTATTCTCTCCACAGTACAGGTACACTGCAGGTGGGCACTCAGCCAGCCCTCTGCCCTCACTGCTGTGTTCCCTGTCGGCATGGGGCAACCTGCTTACTTTCAGACTGCCTCTGTCCGCCCTGCAGAGTCGTCCAGTTTCCAAAGCTGCAGTTGCAAACCACAAGCCTACACTGAAGGAGTGGTTAGGAGAACACCACACTGCTTGCCACCCTTTAGCTCTCTGCCCTGAGCCAACTCCTAGGGAGTGAGGTCCCTTTGGCCCTCCCCTACAATAAAATGAAATATTTGAGGGGGCTGGCCCCTCCCCCCAAAGTGAATAGGTGTTGCAATTCAAATGTCTTGGGAGTTACCTGCCTGCCTCCAATGTTTTATTCAAATTGGCATCCCTGAAGCAGGGGCAGACCTACATTCTCAGGGCCCTGAAGCCTGAACTTCACAGGCAGTAGCGAGGTCTGCGTAACCACTGTTATCTTCTTCAATGGGGTTGTTCCATGATAAATCACCACACCTTTACAAACCTCTGTGCTAACAGCTCTCAAGCTTTGAGATTGTTGAAATATACGCAACAAAAAATTAATCAATTTGAGTCGTGTCACTCAAATCTGGCCTAGTAAAGGTAAAGGGACCCCTGACCATTAGGTCCAGTTGTGACCAACTGTGGGGTTGCAGCGCTCAACTCGCTTTATTGGCTGAGGGAGCCGGCGTACAGCTTCCAGGTCATGTGGCCAGCATGACTAAGCCACTTCTGGTGAACCAGAGCAGCACACAGAAATGCCGTTTACCTTCCTGCCAGAGCGGTACCTATTTATCTACTTGCACTTTGACGTGCTTTTGAACTGCTAGGTTGGCAGGAGCAGGGACCGAGCAACGGAAGCTCACCCCGTCGCGGGGATTCGAACCGCTGACCTTCTGATCGGCAAGTCCTAGGCTCTGTGGTTTAACCCACAGCGCCACCCGCGTCCCTCTCAAATCTGGCCTACTATACCCCAAATTTTTAAGCCAAATGTAGACGAAGGTCGCTTCTGGGGCCCCTCTGGGATTAAGCTTTGTTAGTTTCATAGTAGATCAGCCCTTGCCCCGAGGACATCAGAGGAGCCCTGTTGGATCAGAGGCCTTTTGTCTTCTGGTTCAGCATTCTGTTGGAAGAGTGGCCAGCTAGATTTGCTTTTTTATTTTAGCTCAGCAGCAGAGCACCTGCTTGGCATGCAGAAGGCCCCAGGGCCTGTCCCTGATGGCATCTTCAGGAAGGGCTGGGCATTGTTCCCTGCCGGAAAGCCTGAAGAACTATTGCTGCCAGTCATGGCAGAACTCAATGGACCAGTCAGTGGTCAGACTCAGTCTAAGTAATTCCTACAAATCCACAAGTAGAATGCAAGCACCATGGCCTCTCCCCCCACCCCCCAACGACTGATATGCAGAAACATGACATCCCTGAATCCTTCTGGAAACCTTCCAAGCAGCATGCAGTCACATGGGCTGGTATTCATAGAAAGGCCTTTTTCACATCCTCCTCTGCTGATTTATTGAATCCCTCTTCAAAGCCAGCGGCTGCTGCCACCCCTTGTGGCAACGAGTCCCACAAATTAATAGGCGTATCAAAGAGGTGGAGAACCTCAAGCCCAGGGGGTGAATGCAGCCCTCCTTACCTCTCTGTCTGGCCCTTAGAACTCTCACTAGTGTGTGGAGTGTGTCCTTGACCTCTGGCTCTTCCCTGGATGGAGGATAGAGAGCAGAGCAAGATGTGTGTGTGTGTGTGTGTGTGGAAACAGGCCTACCATACAAAGGTGAAATTTGCATCTGTTGCCCTGCCAGCTTCTCCCCCTTGGCTCCACCCCTCATTTGCATGTGGCCCTTGGAACATTGCCTGGCAGGGATTGTGGCCCTCAGTCTGAAAAAGGTCCTCTTCCCCTGGCAGGCACTGGAAATGCAGGAGTGGCAGGCAGGATTCCTCTCTCTACTGTGGTGGAAGAGAGAGACATACACAGGGGCTCCTTAACAGCTGCCCTCTCACTAATGGAGGTGCTTTTCCCCTCTAGACCTTTCCTCTACTGCCATGAGTGGGAAGTCACTGCTGCTGAAGGTGATCCTCCTGGGCGATGGCGGCGTTGGGAAGAGCTCCCTCATGAACCGCTACGTCACCAACAAGTTTGACTCGCAGGCCTTCCACACCATTGGGGTTGAGTTCCTCAGCCGGGACCTGGAGGTGGATGGGCGCTTTGTGACGCTCCAGATCTGGGACACAGCTGGGCAGGAGCGCTTCAAGAGCCTGCGGACCCCTTTCTACCGGGGGGCTGACTGCTGTCTGCTGACCTTCAGTGTGGATGACCGGCAGAGCTTCGATAACCTGGGCCACTGGCAGAAGGAGTTCATCTGTTACGCCAACGTGAAGGACCCTGACCGCTTCCCCTTTGTGGTTCTGGGCAACAAGGTGGACAAGCTGGAGAGGCAAGTGACCTCTGAAGAGGCCCAGGCCTGGTGCATGGAGCACGGCAACTACCCCTACCTGGAGACAAGTGCCAAGGACGACACCAACGTGGCTGTGGCCTTTGAGGAAGCTGTGTGGCGGGTGTTGGCCATGGAGGAGCAGCTGGAGCACTGTGTCCTGGGCCATGCGGTTGACCTGCATACCAGCAGCAAGGCAGGCTCTTCCTGCTGCTGAGAGAAGCCAAAGGGGAGGGGAAGGGCACATCCTGGAACAGTAGATGCCAGGTGTGGGGGCCCTCAGGCTGCAGTCAGAGTGGAGGGCAGAGGGCTTTGAGAAGAGGACAGCTGGAAGGTCTCGTTCTTGCATCATTGCATACCTAACCCACTGAGCAGTGTCCAGATCAAGGGATGTAATAGTTCCACTCTATTCCTCCTTAGCCAGACCACACCTGGAGTCCTGTATCCAGTTCTGGGCACCACAATTTAAGAAGGATATTGGCAAGCTGGAATGTGTGTAGGGGAGGGCAATCAAAGATGATCAAGGGTCTGGAAACCAAGCCTTATGAGGAACGGTTGAGGGAACTGGGTATGTTTAGCCTGGATAACAGGAGACTGAGAGGAGATATGATAGCCATCTTCAAACATCCCAAGGGCTGACACATGGAAGATGGAGCAAGCTTGCTTTTTCCAGCTCCAGCAAGCAGGACTCAAACCATTGGTTTCAAGTTACAAGAAAGGAGATTCTGACTAAACATCAGGAAGGACTTCCTGACAGTAAGAGCTGTTCATTAGTGGAACGGTCTCCCTCAGGAGGTTGTGGATTCTCCTTCCTTGGAGGTGTTTTAAGCAGAGATTGGCTGTCTGTCACGGGTGCTTTAGTTGAGATTCTTGCATTGCAGGGGGTTGGGCTAGATGAACCATGGGGTCCCTTCCAGCTCTATGATTCTATGAGCAAACCCCAAAGCCTTGTTTAGAGGAAAGTAGGCACCCATACTTCTCTGTCTGTCCCGATATTGGCTCTCCCTGGTTCTCAGGCCAGGATGGGGCCATTGCTACCTGGAACCTGCTTAACTGGAGATGCCGCTGCCAGACGTTTTGCCCTGCAAAGTTCTGCTTGCAAAGCAGCTGCAGCCTCATTTCAGCACTTTGTTGCTGGGGCTTCCAGGGAGAGTGAAGGTTTGCAGCAAAAGTTGCAAGGTGTCCACAGTAAGCTGGGAAATGCAGCTGTTGGCTTCTTGCTGCCCTTTCTGGATATGGCTGCCAAAGTGGTGGTGGTGGGGGGGGCTGAGAAGAGAGTGGGAAGTTTACTGAGCAGGAACCCACCCCTCCCTGGCCTTGATTGGGAAGAGGCTACAAAAGTTTGGGGGACGGAGGGGGAAAGACATGCTGGAGGTCTGCGAGGGGAATCTCATGGGCTGGAATCAGTGCCTGGGAGGGGCGACACTCAGTTGTGAGTACGGTCGCCTGCTTGTTGCTTGGCAGTGCAGCAAAGTGAGTGTTAGCAGGGAGTTGCTTGCAGACAGAACAGAACAGTCCAGCCTGCACAAACAGGGATTCTTGTCTCTCCATGAGAGCCCATTGCTTTTGCTCTCCATCCTGTTGTGGGAAGTAGCACCGTGTCTCACCCTCCCTGAGACATCTGTGACAGAAGCTCACTTGCACCAAGCCACGCCCAACTGGCCATGTTGCAGTCTCGTGAAGAGGAAGAAGGCCCAAGGGGGACTGTGTGCAGCTGCAGGTGCAAATGCTGCAGCCTCGCTTGATCGCTCTGTTGCTCCCAGATGTAGAGGCGTGTCTTCCAATCTCTTGCTGCAGCTGTGCCATGCGTCTAGCCTAGGTTTTGACACTGCATTAGGGTTTCCATATTTCAAAAAAGTAAAAACCAGGACACCCTGAAAGTTGTTGGGCTTTTTTTTTATAGGAAGACCCCAAAGCGCCACCTTTCCGAACCGCTCCACCAACGTCAATTCCGCCTTTGAAATCCCAGTAATGTCTGGGGAAATCCGGACATATGACAACCCTACACTGGATGGAACTTCTGTTGTCACTTCCTGCACAGGGTGGACTGTCAAGTGTTGATGGCAAACGAGGAACTGCAGCCCCTCCGGACTGTCTTCTGCAACATGTTTTTGACACAATAATAGTGCATTAGGGGTGGCTATATTCTGGAGTGTCCACACCTAATCCTGCTTTATTAGCTCCTCTGAGATGCTTTCCCAATGTCATGGCAATATTGTTGCTGGAGGGGCTATAGTGCAGCCAAAGTGGGACAAAATAGGATATAAAAAGTGACACAGTTCCAACAGAAAGTTACAAGACCACGCACAAACTGGAAACAAATCAGTGTGTCCACTTCAAAACCTTTGTAGGTGCAAAGGGTATTGAAAGTGGGCTTGTGTATAACTGTGTATAACTGCCTTGATACTATCATGAGCACAAGTTGCATGGCAGGGTGTTGGACCTGATGACCCTCAGGGTCCCTTCCAACTCGAAATCATCACAAATGCACAAATGGAAAAGACGTTGAGTAGCTGCCTCAGAGCACTTAGAGGGTGCCACAAGTTTCTCTGCACCGTGTGGCATCAGAAATGCTGATCATGTCTCTGGCGGGAGCAAGGCTCAAGATCTGTGTCACCCAGAGACAGGGATACCCCTGCCCTGAGCACAGACAAGCAATCTCCAATGCCTGCTGCTGCTACTGCGACACTTGAACTACTGGGGGCTTCTCTTGGTTAGGTTGCAGAAGAGGGTGGAGAAATGCACACATGTGCGTGCGCACACAAAACCCAAACTGTGACCCATAAATCAGCCAGCTTGAGACTTTGCCCCTGGCACATTGCTGGGTTCCCATCAGTTCCCATTTCCTCCATTCTGCTGTTACAGAGCAGAGCGATGCATGTCTTCCCGCTGCTCCTGTCCTGGGGGGGGGGGAGCATTTTCCCACCAGAGTTCCCAGCTCAGTGCTGAGGGTTAAGGCCATGAGGGGCCTTGTTGTGGTCACTTCACACTAGGCGCTAATAGGCTGTGCTCGCTTGAGAGCTGTTAATCTGATGTTCTCCATGCTTAATGCCACTCTGCCATGAAATGTGGAGCATTAGGTGGGCAACCTCTGCAGGGACTCCTGGGAAGCGGAACCCTTCATTCCACAGAAAAATATGCCTGCAAGGGCAAAGCTGCCACTTTGGGGTGGGGTGGGGTTTGGCTGGCAGCGTTGAGCCCCCAGATGCCTTCCAGTAGTGAGTGGGAAATGCAGGCCACTAAAAGACCACCTGCTTTTCCCCCCCTACTTGGTAGCCTGCCTTTTCCTGCCGGTTGGTGTTTTACAGCTGCCAGCCCAGCAAAACTGCCACCTGAAGTGGCAAGGACCCCTGGCATGTTCTTGCAAAGACCGTGTGGGCTATCCCTTGACATGCACTGCCCCCAGGCTACATCTGCAAAAGGAGGAAGCAAGCCTGGATAGCTCAGTTAGTCAGAGCGTGGTGCTAATAACCCCAAGGTTGCAGGTTCAATTCCAGTAATGGACAGCTGCATATTCCTGCATTGCAGGGGGTTGGGTGAGATGATCCTCAGGGTCCCTTCCAACTCTATGATTCTATGAGTAGCTGTGGGGCTGTTCTGAGTCTCACAGGGAAGACCCTGGAGGTGGAGGTCAATGCATGTAGGCAGATGAGCTTCATGCCAAGTGAATTGGATGGTGCATAAGAATGACACCAATGAAAGCCTGAAATGTATCTTGCAGCACCTGTAGTGAACTAGATGCTTACATTTATGTTACAGGCCAATGTTTTGTTTGTTGGACCTGCATTTTTTTAAAAAATGAAAAGGAGACTTCTGGCAATGACTCATTTCAAAGCGCAGCCGGTTACCTCCTCGAAGGACGAGTTTTGCCTTTGCAGTCTTCCCTCCTGCTTGCTTCATCTGCCTTACCAGTTCTCCTTTAGTCTTCTGTTGGTGCAGATCCTCCAGCACTCCAAAGGAGCAGGAAATGTAAAGAGGCCAAACTGTCATGTATTTAAGCCAATAAAACATGGATGTATTAATAAAAGGAACAATCATTTCCATTTTGTCTCTAACACAAACAAGCAATGTGGCAAAGCTGCCTTTGAATTTGCCAGCAGGTGTTTAGAAACCCTGCGTGTTTAGAAACCCTGTGTGGAGACCTTTAACAGGGGAGGGGGCTTGGCTCACTGAGACCCACCTTGAGGAGCCATGCAGGCTATGGAACCATCAGAAGTCATACAGGTCCTACTGGCAACACCTAAGATTCTGCTACCTTTCCTTATGTCACCCATCTTGCCTCTTGGGGCTAAAGAGTTTCCAGGTGCATTTGTGCCTTAATAAGATCAAGGAGAAATCACTGGGGGATTTCACCCCCAGGGAGAGGAACCAGAAGGAGGAGAACTAGCAGCCTGAAGCCCTGAGGGGAGCACTTTTGGTCAATACGAGTCCTCTATGATTCTATAGTTCAAGGGCAAATTCACCTCTGGAAGGTGACATCCAGCTGCTCCTTCTCACCCTCTTTTCCTGGCTAAACTCTCTTCATTCTGCACAGCAACCAAAGGCAAAAAAAGGCATTGCAGTCACTCTGTCACTCAGCTAATTTGCACCATTGTGCCTTTATTCCTGGGAAGGGTTTCATTCCAGGGTCCAACTAAGCTAGGTCATGGCAGGGTGGGTGGAATCTCTGGACATGTTCCATGGGGTGGGGATCTGTTGGGGGCTGGATAGTTGCAATGGGTGGGAGCAGAGCCCAAAGTGGGTAGAGTTTGCAGGATGGCGTAGCTCACTCGCTCAGTGGCAGACCTACATTAAAAAAGGTAAAGGTAAAGGTACCCCTGCCCGTACGGGCCAGTCTTGACAGACTCTAGGGTTGTGCGCTCATCTCACTCTAGAGGCCGGGAGCCAGCGCTGTCCGAAGACACTTCCGGGTCACGTGGCCAGCGTGACGAAGCTGCTCCGGCGAACCATTACCAGAGCAGCACACGGAAACGCCGTTTATCTTCCCGCTGTAAAGCGGTACCTATTTATCTACTTGCACTTAAGAGTGCTTTTGAACTGCTAGGTGGGCAGGAGCTGGGACCGAACGACGGGAGCTCACCCCGCCGCGGGGATTCGAACCACTGACCATGCGATCAGCAAGTCCTAGGCGCTGAGGTTTTACCCACAGCGCCACCCACGTCCCCCAAGACCTACATTTGGGGGCCCCTGAAGCTCAAATTGTTATGGGGGCCCCTTTGCAATCAGCAATGAAGTCTTGGTAACCCCTGTGACCTTCTTCAATGGGGTTGTTCCATGGCAGATCACCACATTTGTTTGTTTTTTTAAAATAATTCCTACTACTCATATTTTGATTTAAAATGACTGTCCTGGATTATCTCACCTGTCCAAGTCACTGGGGTGAATAAAAATGCCCTATGACTTATAATTTCCAAGCCCCATGTTGGGCAAAATATTCCTGCATTGCAGTGGGTTGGACTAGATGACCCGCAGGGTCCCTTCCATTTCTACCATTTATGATTCTATAATTATTTTTTTCAGTTATTTCTAGCAACATATTCACATCCAGTTACATCACCTGAGAGCTTCCTTGATTTTCTGGAGACAATATGCAGAAAGAATTTGCCGGTAAGTGCCCTTCAGCCGAATGGCCAACTTACCACCCCTGGGTCTCCAACTGTTTTTGGACTACAACTCCCATCATTCACCTTTCCTTTCATCTTCTGTGAGAAAGTGTGAGCAGGCACTGAAAGTGTTAAGGAGCAAGGCTGCAAGGCTCTCTTATCAGTTCTTGGATGACTAACTAATTGTAGTAGCTGAGTGTTTTTTGTTTGTTTGTCTGTTTATATGAAGTGAACCCTTTAAGGCGAGGGATTGCTTGCTGGCAAATGTAAGCTGTTCTGGAAAGGATCATGGAGTTGAGACTCTTTTATTTGTGGCAGTGGAGAGGACGCGATGATTTATTTGGCTCAGCTTGCACCGAATTTACTTTGCAAGGCCGTGAAGCTGTAATTATTGGAAGAGATTCCGGGTGTTGATGGGCCATCAGTGGGACAGCCTAGCACTCTTTAGTGCCGCTAATAGAGGCTCCTGTATTAATGCAGAGCACAGGATGCTTTTAAAGAAAGAAGCTCAGATCACTGTAGGTTCAGGACAATAAAGGAAAACCAGCTTTTGCAGGGAAGAAAGAGTCCTAAGTCTGCAGAAGAGCAAATAGGTTGACTCTCCTCATTCTTTGAAGAAGGTAAATACATTCCATGGAGGTAAACATATTACAGGAGCAAAACCCACTTTTGGCCTTTTGCTCCTAAATAAGTGCATGTAAGATTGCAGCATGAGGATGCAAGCCTGTGTGCACTTATCAGGAAGTAGTTTTCATGGATTGACTAAAGGGTTGTATCCTACTAAGTTAGACACATGGTAGCCTCACTGAAATTCGTAGATTTATGCCTGTCATGTGCATCTATTCTGAGCAGGACTAATGTTGGATGCAATCCGATGTCTAGGTGCACACACAAACATGCCCAATTTAGAAAGGCACCTTATACTTCCAAGTATATTTACTCAGGGCACTGGTGTTAGTTTTGAGAAAACGGCAAATGTGTCCCCCCCCCGCCCCCCAAAATCTGGGTCATTGTGTGATTCTGTTGGCTCATCCAAATGAGAAGTATCCTGGATTTACAGGGATTATTACTTTTAAAGGCGGATGGAATACAATAAACAGAGTAATTAGGCCCAGTGGATCTAGAAATAATTTCTGAAGGTGTTTCCAAGCATCATGTTTACCACATGGCAAACCATCAGTGTTCCCTATGGGGCTTCTGAGAGAGCTGTTGGGATGCTCATTTTAGGAAAGTTGTCCAGAGGGATCATGCCTCACGCAAGATCTTCTGAAGTGGCGCAAAGAGCAATACGATTATTTGTTTGTTTGTAACTTTTCCTACCTGCACTTCAGGATAAGATCCCAGGGCTGCTTGCAACAGTAGAATGTACAATGAAAACAGATGAAACCACCACAATTATAAAGCATGTAAAACCGTTCCAGAATGGAACAGAATGATATGAATTCTGCAAAAGTGGTGGGTCTTAAAAACAACGACAAAATATTGTAGCTGTCAAGAACCAGGATGGAGGGGTCTATCTTTAGCATAAACAAAAGCTGGATGCACCTTTGATTAGCTCCCACCTGTTGTGCCCAAAGCTTTGGAAACTGAACACAGGAAGCTGCTATATCCTAAGCTGCATTGTTTGCCCACCTAAAATCTCATTCAGGGATCTTTCTATTTGTGAGGGTTTTGAGTGTGGGTTGTGCTTCCCTCCTCGCTTTTAAGCTTGGGGAAAAACGGAAACTGGCTGAGCAGGGAATATAAAAAGAGGTTTATAAAATTATGTATAATGTGGTAAAACTGTGGAAAGAGAGATATTTTCCCCTGTCTCCCATAATACTAGAATGTGGGGAATGCATTGGCAATAGGTTCTACTGGCGCTGCTGTCTAGTCTCAAAACCATGCGCTACTCGTTTTTAGTCTTTTGTTTTGTTTGAGGAATGCATTCATCACCATTCAGAACAAAATCTTCCCATGGCAGCTTGCAATATTTAATGCTATTTAAAATATAATGCTAGGCCATCAATTCGACACTATATATATATAAATGTAATTCTGTGTCATCAGAGCAGCAATGGTAAAGGTATTTTAATGACACTTCACACTGGGAAGCAGGATGTCACTTAATGCTAGTTGCTAGTGGCTGACAGGCCCTGGAAGTCTGCCCTGAAGTCCTGGCCTTTGATGGTGCCTTTGCTCTGATGCTGAAAGGCTCTCCTTATGTTTTTACCACTGAGCTATTGGCCTTAACCAACATAACTGCAGAAGAGGAAGACCCTCCAATATTTATCGAGTTGATACGAGTACATGGCCTCTCTCTTTCTATCCTTCAATCTACCCCAGTCCAGTACAGTGGTACCTCGGGTTAAGAACTTAATTCGTTCTGGAGGTCTGTTCTTAACCTGAAACTGTTCTTAAACTGAAGCACCACTTTAGCTAATGGGGCCTCCTGCTGCTGCCGCGCCGCTGGAGCACGATTTCTGTTCTCATCCTGAAGCAAAGTTCTTAACCCAAGGTACTATTTCTGGGTTAGCGGAGTCTGTAACCTGAAGCATATGTAACCCGAGGTACCACTGTACTTTGAGCCAGGTGAAAGCCTTTGATGAAACACTGCCCTCATTTGCTTCTTCCCTATTTTAAGGAGATGCTTCACTGAATCTGGTTTCATCGCAATCTCCGCAGCATTAAAACATAGCCAGCGCAACCAGAACATCGCATGCCCTCACCCACCCACCCATGTGCATGTACACCCACATACACATACTTATATTCACCCCCACCCCCAGTAAAGGGGTGGGAGGGAAGCACTCAGTTGCTATTGCAGTGTGACCACCTTTACAGAGGAGAAGGCAAACAAAACCCACTGCTTTTTTTCAGAGACACAGATGGGATGTATTCACACAAGTGGCGGCCAATAATGTAAGGAGAAAGGTTCAATACTTCCCGTGGGAGATTCTTCCCCAAGTGTTCCACTGCTTTATATAACAGGAAATGTGTCCCCTTTTAACCCTCTGTTCTCTCTCTTCCCCCTCCATCTCTTTTGTAATGCACTAGATGCTTACTAGAGGATGTTCAGAATGAAACTCCTAGTCATAAATATGCAGATTTAATGCATAGCATTTATCCATTGCCTCCTGTGAGTCCAGAGCACTTCATATTTTATTTATTGTTATTTATTACATTTATATCCCAGCCTTCTTCCCAAATGACCTTGTCTTGGGTAGCTTAGGACCCAACTCCTGCTTGGCAGGGGGTTGGACTCGATGGCCCTTGTGGTCTCTTCCGACTCTATGATTCTATGATTCTATTCTATGAACTCCTGTCACACAGAACATGGTGGTGGTTGCGATCATTACAAATATATATGACCCATACATATATATGAGACCCATCCTATTTCCTTTACTGTAATTTGTTTCAAACTGATTTTAACAT